AACAGTGAAAAAGACTGTTTAGATATGTGGAACGAGGCTCTACAAACGGTTACCCCAGACATGTGGAAAAATAGTGTTCGACATACTGAGCAAGAAATTTTTAAATGGTATGAAAGAGAACGAATTTTTGATCGACCAGACATCGAACCTTTAATAATCAACTTTGAGAGTGATGAAGATTCAGATTCAGACAGCGCTGAAGAAAGAAACTCCGACTAACTTTATTGTACAGAAAAAGCTTACACCAGTAGCTTACCTAATTTTAGAATGCATTTTTCTGTATGAATTCTGTAAAATAAATACCATGCATAAAATTTGGAGGACCCCATTTGGATTTTTATTCAGTACCTTTAAGCTATCAATTAAATATGGTAGTTTCATAGTGTTATCTGATCAATAATTGTCATACTTAATGATTATGCAAGTACAGATCTATAATTTTATTATACTATTATTTTTGTTCTCATTTGAGGTTAATATTGCTTATAAACCTAGATATGTAAATAATAAATTTTATTATTTTACAAAAAGTTTGGCAACAATGTAAATTTTTCAACACACCCACCTTGATGACGTGCACGCCACTTTGTTTGGCGTTGACATATATGCTTCAATCCTACCACAGCTTAGATAACAATCAGCTATGAAACTCTCTTGTCAGTGTCAAAAACAGCCGCCATTTCGGCGAAGAATGTCGAATGTAAATTCCCCCAGTACAACGATGACAGAGGTTTCAGCGTTCCGTAATGTGTAATCCTAGGCGGTGTTGCCGCGTACCATAATATGCGTTGCAAAAAGTAAAAAAGAAGCGATGAAGTATTAATGATTATTTATTTAAGAAAAAGCTTCAGAATAAATTTGTAATTGTGGAAGTCTATCAGTATTTACAATAAACGGAAAAGTATTCACTTTCGTTTGATATATTTATATAGAAGAAATGAAAGAACTAGACGGAAACATCTCTTCACCGCTTCACATTTTACAGCAGTAACATTTTTGGAAAATGATGCTATGATGGTACCATAGAACTGGCCCCTGTCATTTCATTTTGAGAGTCCGGTCCTTGGAATATGATGACATTTTCGCAAATTTAAGCATCAATGTCTGTAGCACGGCATCGCGTGACCTGCGTACCCTTATAACGCGTTTCTTTTGCATTTTTTGGTCAGCAGTTCAAATCCCATCCGCACCCGGAGATTTGTTATTTTTTTTTCCAGGCACTGTTCTCGTAGTAGTAGACTTATATTTTTGCCATAGATGGCAGAAATAAAATAAACCATTTTATAGATAAAAATTTCATTGAAATTTCCAGTCTCTTGCTCTAGTGCGAGTAACAAGTTTTGAGCATATACTTTGTTGTTTTTTCATATACAAATAAATATTAATTTTGAACAAATATCCTCCTTTTTTATTAATTATTGGTTCAAACAAACTACTCAAGGTCATAATCGCAATATTATATTTTTTACGATTGAACGCATATGGTGTATGTCGCCGCTAGAATGGTAAGCGGCAATACCGTTGTTGAACAGCGGATTTCTGGAACAAATTACTCCAATTTATTCAAAAAATCTAAACACCAAATTCTATAAACACCAAATGCTATAAACTAATAAATAATCATACGATTTGATTTTGAAATAGGTCACAATAAAAGAATTCAATAGAGAGTCAAAGAAAAAGAAAATATTGTCGAATACGGATGGGATTTGAACCGCTGACCAAAGAAATGCAGAAGAATCCCGTGATTAAGGTTACGCACGCCTCAGGACGCTAGGCTAGAGATATCTACTGGCATATTCAAATTTGCGAAAGTGCCATCATATTCCAAGGACCGGCCCCTCCTATGATGATTTATGTGAAAAAGAATAATAATATTTCTTAAAACTTTCAATAAGTGTTCATGTAGTCTCAAAATGAAATCTGCGGCAGAATTCTTTGATACCAAAATAGCATCATTTTAAAGAAATGTTACTGCTGTTTTTGTCTGCTTTCCTTAATATCTTCTACTTAAATATGTATATCCAAGAAACGTAAATATTTTTCCGTTTATTGTAAATACTAATAGCCGTCCTTAAACAAATTCGTTCTGAAGCTTTTTCTTAAATAAATAATGATCAATACTCATTAGGTCATATCGCAATAAAATAATTTTTAGGATTAGAACGCTAGCATGGTACGCTGCAACACCGCCTAGGACTACTCAATACGGAACGCCGAAACCACTTTCATCGTTGTTCTGGCGGACGTTTTAGACAGTGACAGAAGAGTTTCATAGCTGATTGTTATCTTCTAAGCTGTGCTACTACTTCCATAAGGGTCGTTTGGAAATAATCTTGCAAAGTTAATTTCACCGGCCTATTTGTTCTAATCCACCCTGAGACATCGACTACTTCTGGCAGAGCTGCTTGCTAAATAAATGTAAAGTTAATTTCAGTATCTTCAAGACGCTCGAAGGCAGCAACTATTCCCATTCGAGCTTTTGCCAAATTAACTTGCAATTTTAAATTCACAGCAATGTGTATGCTTTAATCCGCTCGAGGACATCGATTGTTCTGATTTAAATTTCTGGAATATCGAATATAAATTCCCCATAGTATACCTATAGTACATCTTAATGCTAAAGAAAATGCCCAGATTTTTTGTAACACCCGTAGTATCCCTGCTGTCAACAGATAATTTCGATCACCACCTGGCAATTAGCCCACCTGGCAGTTAGCATGCGGTACATACATACAGTTAACTACAAGATAAGTGTTACCTGGGATTTGCTAAAGAATCCCTTAGGACATAAGAGTCAATGAGGGCTGTAACCTCCCGCGCGTCCAAAATATGCTAGTCTCACCTTCTTTTTTCCTTTACACGTATCTTTTTCCCATTTGTTTGTTTTCTCTGACAAAATAAGGAGTTGGGCAATTTTATACACACTGTATATGTATCTCTACTTCACGGTGTAGTTTTACCTGGATTCACAAGGAGTCGGACGAAAACGATATGATGCTGTCCTTGAAATCATTATTTAAATTCATATTTTTAAATAAGTTAGACGGAAAAATAAAGCATCTATTAAAAACGTTTTATTGAATTTCCAAAAATGATCAATAGTGCCAATAAATAACATTTTAAATCTCAGAAGGCGCTTTAATCGTGGCACTTGCCATCTGATGTGGGGCACATTAAGCAAAAGCTTAATCAAAATCGAAATCTACAAACGTCTTATTTTGACATAATAGCTTTGCTGAAAAATAAATAGATGTCACGCCATGTTCTGCTAAGTACCATCTTTTGGACGTATGAAGACTAAATACAGAACCTGAAAATGTTTAATTTTGAGAGGAAAATATCTAAGAAAATTTAAGCGGCATCTAGCGAGTCGTCATTATAACATTAGACAGCAGAGGACAGAAACTTTATTCTGACAGATCCAGATGACGTACAATAAAAGACGACACATTTTTAGTGTATATGCAAGGTTGCCGCATTGAGGGATTTTCCCACAAATTTGAACGTTTTTTGATGAGGAATTTTTGGGACATAAAATGTTCTGGGAAATTAATTGGGGCAAAATAAAACGTTTGGGTATTTTTGAAGTTAGTGTTTAATTCAATTTTTAGCCACACAAAAGTATGCACTTTCCTCCTGGTCGCACTCACATCTATCTACCTGTCTCCACAACACATCTACAGTGCCAATAATTGTATGTTGCTAGACCTGCATCCATAGTCATAGAGCATAAAAAAGAGAATAGTAAGATGGAACCGCATGAGTATTACGTGTCTTGAAAAGTGACATTTCGTCGGTTTTCTTATATTTCGTAGATTTTCTATGAAATGTAGGTTTTTCTACAACATGTTAACTAAAATCAAATCCAAGCGAATAACCAAAATTTCTGTGTTATGTGATGCGGTTATAATATGGTTCAAGATGACACACGGGTTGATGACGTCAGTTACAAGAATCGCTTGAACGCGTTGGTTTTAACCGCGGTTTTGTTGCAAGTTGTTTATTTTAGAAAAGTGCGTATATAAACTCAAATTATGTTTATTATCACTTAATAATCGGTGCTTTTTTGTCTACAGCGGTTTATGGAAAGTTTAAATAAGAAACCTTTCATAATATTCATGGGAGAAATGTTTTTTTTTTTCTTCAGAAACATTTTTTTAATTATGGAACCATGGTTTTGTAGCTATGATAACTTTCAATTCTCTAAAGTTTTCCGCATGTCAAAGAAAACATTTATTGATTTAGCAGAAATGATGAAAAAAGATATTAGCAAAACCGTATACAGGTGGACATCATCCAGTGAGTTAAATTGCGATATTTTAATATTTTTGTGGTATATGGCTACACAGGATACTTTGTTAAACGTAGGAACTAGATTGAAAGTGTTCCCAACAACAGTAATGAGTATAACTAATAAGGTGCTCCACTTTATGCTAACACTGAAGTCAGCCTGTATCAAGTTTCCCAAAAATTAAGCTGAAGTACAATAACACTATCCAATACCCGGCAAAATTCTAACTTGTCACATTTCAAATAATAACCAGAAATATAAAACTATTCCTGAGTTGGGTAAATACCACAATTTTGCGGTGATAACTGTGACATATAACAGCTGATTCATGACGTCACGGATCTTATAACCAAACTGATAACCACACTCGCTTGAACGGATCGGTAAATACCAACCCAAAATGGTAAATACATTTTCATTTGGTTATCCGCTTGAATTTGATTTTTGTAGCTGTACGTGTTGCTTAAACGTCAGCAATCGTAGCCTGCAAACGTTTTTTTTTACCGTCGGTTGATCTAGCTCACACGTGTTTCGAGAGGAAGAAACTAGATGTGGACTCATCTTCTCCGAAATGTTGCACGGATTTACTCATCTTGTAGATTCTCTAGTCTGCGTTTCCACAATCCCCAAATGGCGAATGCGCTTATCATTTTGAGTTCATGTGCAACCCCGGAACGAAAACATAATTATTTCACAGAGTATTTATATTAGAGTTGGATACAAACTGTAACTTCCTTTTGATGAATCGTCTAATTCTCGCGGGTATGGCTGTAAAAACTAATCAGCTAGAGAACAACTTAAAGGTTTCACGAGTTCGTTCTGTTTCGATTCTGGGGGAATTCTGTCTGTCTGACCCATCTGGCAACGCTGTGTATATGTTTTGTGACGTGCTCCCGCCAGCCCGCCACTCGTGTTTGGCAGTGCCGTTTGAATTTTTGTGTTTACTTTTTTTAAGAGGTTGCTTTTTGTAACAATTTTATTTCCTGTTGAAGTTTTCGTGTTATTTACGAGCAACACAAATTTTATTTTAGATCTGCCGAAATCCATAAATTTACGTATAGAAACACAATCTAACTTAACATACATTACTTCTAGTTAGAACGTGTTCTCTTAGCTTTAATTTTAACACTGGTACATAATGGCCAAAGCCAAAGCAGCCCCCAAACGTAAAGCAGCAACCGGCTACAAACTAGCGGAGCACATACCAGCTGGAGAAATACTACAAGACATTAGTAAAACAAAGTGGAAACTGGGGCCTTCCATAGGGCATGGAGGCTTTGGCGAAATATATTCTGCCCAAGACTATTCAAAAGGTGGCAGCAAGTATCCCTTTGTCATAAAAATTGTAAGAAATATAAATATTAGGTATAGTTTTGTGAGAAAATACAATTCAACATTTTAGGAACCCCATGAAAATGGACCCTTGTTTGTGGAAATGCATTTTTATATGAGGAATGCCAGATCTTCAGATAGTAAGTTGAAATTTAATGTCTTATAGTGTATTTCAGGTTGAACATTGCATATTTATAATGGGAACATATTAGCTTGTTTCAGCTATTTTAAATATCCTCAGGAACACATGCCAGTTAGAATAAATGGCTTACTGTAATTGTATCCTATGGTTTGTACTTTGGTTGACTTACTGGGTAGATTTCCATTCTTGGAATCACTTGGCACTTTCTGGATAAGATACAAATGGGATATCTAGTCCAAATGTCCAAAACAGGTATCTACATGTTGGGTTGAGGGTGCAGGGCATCTTTTAGGAGTGGGAATGTTTGTTCTGGACACCAAATTCCAGTCACCTTCATATCACTATCACATAGTAAGGAAGGGAAACTGATAGTCATACTTACCTGTAAAAGGATTTCAATCTGAGAGGTCGTAATGGAGGAGGTGTTAAAGCCCCCAAAATTAGAGCTTAAATCCCAACACAAAGGTTTTAATCTCTATCATCATCAACCATATTTGGCTTTTGAAAGATGCTAACACCATTGATGAATAATGAAAATGAATGAAGCATGAAGTTTATATGTAGGCGTAGAAGACAGATCACTGTTTTTTTTTTCTACCTTAGAACATAACAGCGTTTTATATCTCCCACCTGGTTAGAAATAGAATTCCTTTCATTAGTAGCTACAAGACAATGAAGATCCCATCCCATCTTCTTCGGACCCATCAAAGAGGTTGATTTCACCTCTTGAATGTCAAAAATGTGGTTTTTTGCCTTTTTCACCTAGGCAGAAAAATAATTTACATTCTAAAAATGAATCAGAAATGTTCCTTTCATTACTAGCTATAATACCATTTTGATCCCATCTACTTCGGACCCGGTTGACTTCACTTGAACGTTAAAACTACGTTTTTTGCATTTTCCACCTATCCAGAAATAACGTTACAGGCTAAAAATAATTCAAAAGTGTTCCTTTCATTAGTAGTTATAAGGCCTCCTAGATCCCATCTTCTTAAGACCCGTCGTAAGGGTTGATTTCACCTCTTGAACATCAAATATGTGTTTTTTTGGCATTTTTCACCTAGCCAGAAAAAAATTACAAGCCAAAAATAAATCAAAAGTATACCTTTCATTCGTAGATATAAGGCCACATAGATCCCATCTTCTGTCAAAGGGGCTGGCTTCACCCCTTAAACGTAAAAATTGTTTTTTCTGCATTCGCCTAGCCCGAAAAAAGTTACAGGCTAGAAATGAATCGGAAGTATTCCTTTCATTAGTATATATAAGACCACCTAGGTCCCATCTTCTTCGGACCCGTCGAAGGGGTTGACTTCATCCCATGAACATGAAAAATGTTTTTTGGATTTTTCACAAAACCAGAAGAAAGTTACAGGCTAAAAATGAATAAAAAGTGTTCCTTTCATTAGTAGCTGTGAGATCATTCAGATACGATCAGATACGTCAAAAATGCGGTTTTTACATTTTTCATCCACCCAGAAAAAAGTTACAGGCTAAAAATGATTCAAAAGTGTTCCTTTCCTAAGTAGCTTTAAGCTTTTGATTTATTTTTAGCCTGTAATTTTTTTCTGGTTAGGTGAAAAATGCAAAAACACATTTTTAACGTTCACATAGTGAAGGCCACCCCTTCGACGGGTCCGAAACAGTGTCCCAATAGCTACTAGTAAAACACTATTCATTTATTTTTAGCCTGTAACTCTGTTTGTAACTAGGTGAAGGATATAAAAAGCTGCCTTATGTTACGAGGGTGTAAACTACCCCTGCGTCATAAAAAAAACAATGACGCCTACATATAAACTATGTGCTTTATTTATTTTCATTATTCATCAATTGTGTTAGCTTCTGTGAAAAGCTGCATTCCTCTTTCTAAATATTTTTGCACAAAGGGTGGAACTACCCTTTTTGAGGTAGCATGTTGCTAAAATTAGCTAGAAATACAATGCAATCATTAGAAAGTTAGTAGTTAGTACAAAAAAATGGCTGCTGAAAATTAGCTGCTAACTTCACGCTAATGCCCGGAAGAATTGGCTGTTAGAAAGTGATTGCCAAGTCATAATTAGTTTTAAAATCTTGAATAAACTTGGCATACCTTTGGACTCATTCCTAGCTTGAAAAGTAAATTCAGAAGAAACCTCCAAATCCAATATTTGATGTATAGTGTTATGCTCTTGTTATAGCAATAGAATTGCTTTGCAAAGGTAAATGTTGCCAACAGGCAGAGAGAAATTATAATTGTAAAATTTTGAATGTGTTGATATTGTTTCTTTATTGCAAATATATGCCTTTAGTTTTTATTCCATTCTGATGACAATTCAACCAAACATATGAAAGATGTATATATTGCAGAAAACAGTCCAGTGACAGCAAAATTATGGAAGTTAAAAACAAAACACCATCAAATAGTCCCATAGTCCAAGGTGAAACTTACTATGATAGGAATTTCATTGTAATTAAAATTTTAAAATACTCTACACTTTTAAGTTTCTTGAATCCACCAGGCATTTTGATGAAACTTCAAAAGAAGTACACCTGAGATAATTCGATTTTCCATATGTGCAAGATTCAAAGTTAGATTTATAATAATGTTGAGAAATACGAATTCGATCTACGCAACTTCATTTTTCAGTTACCGTTAGTGATACTGAATAAACAATCCAGTTATGTAAAAGTGAATGTGAATTAAACATTTCCTGATAGAGGACCAAAAAACGTGTCTTCACTGTCTCAAAAATGCTTATTAAAATAAATAATGTACTTTTTCAATAACAATACAAAAATAATACTGGTATACAAGCATACACATTTAGAATAAGGAGACTAAGTGACATAGAAAATGCAACACCGACTAGGTAATTTTGAGCATATTTAAGTTTTAGGTCTACTGATAAAAAGAAAATGATTAAAATTTTAACTCAAAGTTTCGCAAAATAGCTAAGATATTATTATTATTATTATTATTAAACAACAAATTTGAGTTGAGTACAAGTACTATAAACTCAAACACAAAAATAGATAATAGTGTACAGACAAAAGAAATATAACAATTTGACAATCTTAGCACTTCTGAAGTAGACATATACAGAATGGGAATAATATGTTAAGCACTGCGGTGTCTATCGTAATTGTTTTTGAAACTGTTGACGGATTCCGAGTTCACTACATAAGATGGAAGACTGTTCCATGCATCGAAGACACGGTTTGAGATGAAGCGCTGACGAGTAGAGGTTCTAAAAGCTTCCTTCTGCAATTTGAAGTTATGGCCTCTGAGACTGTTCGTTGCCAGACGAAACAGATGCGACATGTCCACACCAAACAAATTATGCAGTGCTCTGAAAGTGATGATGAGATCTCCTCGTACTCTTCTATCAGCAAAAGCAGGCAGGTTATATAGCTCGAGGCGGTCTTCATAACTTGGCCTACGTGTGCCATATGGCATACGTGTAGCACGACGCTGAACGGCCTCTAATAAGCTGCTATCGCGAACAAGGTTTGAATCCCATACCGGACCAGCAAACTCCAGTAGGGGTCGTACGAAAGTTGTGTACAAAAAGGAGGAGGTACTAACGGTGCAACCGCTAAATGACCTTTCCATCATATATAGCAACCGCTTTGCCTTAGAGGTTATGTTCTGAATGTGCTCCGACCAGGTGAGCCGGCCATTAACTGTCAGACCAAGATCTGTATGATGAAGAACAGTCTCTAAGGTATGTTTGCCAAACGTATATGTTAAGTTAGGATTATTCTTTCCCAGGTGGAGAACGTAGCATTTCGATAGATTTAAAGGCAGGAGCCAGAGTTCTGACCACTTTCTGATCAGCTTGAGGTCTTCTTGAAGCACAGATGAGTTCATGACAGTGTTATAGACTTTAGTATCATCTGCATAGATGGAACACATAGAATAAAGTCGGGTGGGAAGGTCGGTTGTATAAAGAAGAAAACGTATTGGCCCTAGCACAGATCCTTGTGGAACTCCACTAGTAACACGATGACTAGAAGAATAGGCGTCTCCAACACGGACGGAGAAAGATCTGTCTAACAAAAAAGCTTCAATCCATAACAACAAATTTCCCCTGATTCCGAGATGTTCAAGCTTGTGCAGGAGCCTTTTATGCGGAACTCGATCGAAAGCTCTGGAAAAATCCAGAAAAACCACGTCGACCGGTTCATTTGCGTCTAAAGATCTGGTCCAATTGTCAATGCAGTGTAACATGTTGGTGATAATTGATCTACCAGGAATAAAACCATGTTGGTTGCTAGGCAGCAGGTTGTTCTTGAACGCAAATGTCATAAGTTGTTCCTGGACGATCTTTTCGGCTATTTTCGCAGCTATAGGCACAAGACTGATAGGACGGTAGTTTTTCGCAGATGTTTTATCTCCTTTTTTGTATATAGGTGTCACAGATGCAGTACGCCAATAGGAAGGAAGGATGTGATTTTGAATCACACCTTAATGTTAATAATGCGTTGAAGCTTCTGTGTTCGCTACACATTCGTTAAGTCATCGCGGCATTAGGTGATTGATGTCTTCTTGGTGTATTGTATCCCGGGCCTTCTGAATCTGGTTTCGTAAAGCCTCCAATGTTTGTGGAGGGTGCGGACAATTTTGCAACATCATGTCCCATACATGTTCGATGGGAGAAAGTGTATAACACCTGCGACATGAGGTCGTTCATTGTCCTGCTGCAAAAGTGGATCTTGCAATGTTTCCAAAAAAGGAAGCAGATGTGGCTTCGTCGATAGAGCGCTGGGCAGTCATGCTACCTCGAATGAACACTAATCGTGACCAGCTGCCGTAAGCAATCGCACCCCATACCATAGCATCCCCAGTGCGATGAATATGCCGTTCGATGGAATATTGTACGTCTCCTCCTTACTCTGGTACGGCCATCATGTGTGCCGTAACAGAATCTGTACTCATCGCTGAGTTCCATTCCATATTCCATTCAAGTCTCTCCCTACTGCATACCAATCGTTGCCGACAATGTTGTGGAGTCAGAAGTACAAGATGGGGACGGTATGAAAACAGTCCAAAAGACCTTATTCTTGGAACCATGCTCGACAACATCTCATTATAGCAGCTTCGTTTCGATTCACCCGATTAGCGATTTCTCTAAAAGAAAATCCGGCTTCACGTAACCCGATTATCCGACCCCTCTCAAACTCGAAAAGTTGAGTGAAATTAGCGCGTCTCCGAACTCTAGGCATGATAATGTAATGAAACAACAATGAAACAACTGGAACCAACACTTAAAAATCACTGAATATTAATTAAACATTTTCATATTGTTGGATACTGAAATGACAAAAAAAACCTTTACAAAAAAAGTACGGCTCGGAATACCTTCAACATTTTATCAGCGTATACTTCTATGGTAGCAAATATGTTTATAAGTTTTTATCAAAATCAATAAATAATTCTGAGTGTTGCATGTTATATGACACTTAGTATGTATAGATTTTTTACTAATTTACCAGTGATTCATTCATTAATATTTGAATTGCAGTTGACCAGTTTAAAAAAGACCACAACTTGAAAACATTTGGTATGCCTATTTACTATGGTTCGGGATCCCATGAATATAAAGGAGTTAAATACAGATTTCTAGTGATGGAAAAATTTGGAGCAGATATATGGAAGAAATTTCTCGAGAACAACAGAATATTTCCGAAGTCTACAGTATTCAAAATTGCGATTCAAATAGTAAGTTATGCAGCACCTAGATGACATTAAATATGTGATGTGCAATTATCAGATAGACAGATATGCTTTATTGTCTGAAGAATGCAATCATTCTTAATGACTAAGCTAAATTAAAGCTTAACAAAATTACATAGGTATGTGGATCCCACGTAAATCAATTATAGTACTCACACATTTTATTATGTGGTTTACAAATAAGGAGTTTTGAAGTTCTCTGCAAAATATCTTCAAATTGTTGATTCTTTCGGTATCACCAAGGAGGCAAATGTAAAGTTTCACACCATTATAAATGATACAGGTTCTACTAATTTGAGATCTTGTTTTCATCTGATACTGTAACTTATATTTTATGTCTCAAATTTATATTTATTTAAAAAAAGTAAGATTTGCTGTTTGGGATATAAACAATGGTACGACAATCATTATTTTAAGATTTAAAAATAAATGCCTTCATGTATTTGTTAGATTAGTTTTAGTTATATATCTAATCGCTCGTTTTTGTAGAATAAGAACTTTCTTAAACAATGTTGGGAACAGACACCAAAATCTACTTTCAAATAATTCAAAGAAACTGCTTAAGGTTGTGCTTTTCACTAAGTTGTAACTAATTGTTATTATATTAAAGGAAATCTTTGCTAGTCGAGTAAGCAATAGGTCTACATGATTAGTAAAATTTAATTTAAGATCAATGGTCTGTCCAAGAATTTGATGATGTCTATTTTATACAGGGTGTCCCAAAAATAACACGCCAGAGTGACACGGGAGGTAGATTGGCTTCAGATCAATCAGATCAAATCAACATGACCTTTGTAAAAGTTTTCTAGTTTTCGAGATGCCACTTTTATGTTTTTTTCAAAAAATCCCTACTTGTTTCTCTTTTTTTTCTTCTTCTAACTTATGATTTTTTCCTTGGCTACCATTAATAGTATTCTTTTCATTGAAAACGGCACGGTATGCTGAACGTTTCTCATGGTGACATAATTCTACCGACCGAACAGTGAATGTGAGAGCGAGATAGTCAATGACATGTTTAGGTCGTTACATTCCTTAGTGGTTTGGATACAAAGAACGATTGCACTTAATTTTTATATGTAGTAATTCGCAAGTATTATGAAAAACGAAAAACTTGGAATTATTCAATCTTTAGTAGAAAGAACCTACAAATGTTATACTATTTTTAAAAGAGCATTAAATAGGCTAGTTTTTAAAATAATTTGACGATTCAATCCGTTACATTTTTTTCACAGTAATTAGTCAAACTTTAGTAAAGGTTTTCAAATTGAAACAAAATGTAATAATTATTTTTTTAGCATACCGTGCTAGTTTTCAATGAAGTGAATGCTCGGTGGTATCAACCAACTATTATTGGTTGTTCAGGAAATAAATCATAAGTTAGAAGTTCTTCCTAGCCATAACATGCAAAAAAGTAACGATTTTTTCAAAAAACTGCAAAACTTTTACTAAGGTAATGTTGATTTTATCTGATTGATCTGGAGCCAATCTACCTCCCGTATCACTCTGGCGTGTTGTTTCTGTCACACCCTGTGTATCAAATCAATATTTAAATTTATAGAACTAAGCGAGCATACTAATTTTGAAAGTTAAGTAATTGTCACACCATTTTTTGATTTATTGAATTTATCATTTATGTTTAAATCTATTGAATCGTTAATATAAATTGAACACAGAATCGAAGCTAGTACTGATCTTTCATATTTAATACATTTGAAGTAAAATATCTTGATACTCTTATAATTTGGGATCGATTATTTAAATATGTTTTAAACCAATTGAGTGAGGTTCCAGTACAACCCTATTTTTTTTAATTTGTTCAGTAGTCCATACACAATCATAATGTTTGGAAAATTCACAAAAAGATCAATCGAAATCTGTATATTGCTTAAATTTTAGTATGAGAAAATAGCATTAATGGTATTTTCTTGTTTTTTGAAAGCCAGATTGTACAGTTATTTTATCCATACTCTTTCAAAAAATAAACAATGATTATCATTTGTGAAATATTGGAATCCTCTCAGCATGTCATCTATGTGCTTCGATAGCAACTAATGATTACATTTTTTTGGCAGTTGGATGTTCTAGAGTACATTCATATTAAAGGATATGTCCATGCTGACATAAAGGGTGCAAATATTCTACTAGCTGAAACAAAAGAGACTCAGAACAAACAAGTCTACTTGGTAGATTTTGGTTTAGCCACAAAATATACAACAGAGCCTGTTTTCAAGCCTAATCCAAAGAAAGCACATGATGGAACTATAGAATACCTTAGTAGAGATGCACATCAAGGAGGTAAGACCTACCAATGATGTATTCTATGCATTGCCAAGCTTGTAATCTAACTACAGGATTTACGTCGCCGGTGTTCCTCAAGGTTCGGTCCTAGGACCAATCCTTTATTCGCTTTTTATCCATGATGTTCCTTGCCCCAGCAACTGTGAAGTCTACCTCTATGCTGACGACACTGCACTTGTCGTCCAGTCATGTACTGGTGATCTGGTTCACGATGGGTTGCAGAGTGCGGTGGAAGAAGTACTAGAGTGGGCGGAACGGTGACTGATTAAAATTAATCATTCGAAAACGCAGGCTATTGATTGTTCCAAAAAAACGTGTACCATGGACAAATTGTGCCAAGTACCTCGGTGTCACCCTTGATAAAGGCATGACCTGGCAGAAACATACAGCAGCCTTGAAAACAAAATTCCAAATTGCGTTTCGGCAACTATATCCTTTGTTATGTAGATCCTCCAAATTGAGTTTGATGAAGTTCGCCTATATAAAATGATTATTAGACCAGCCATTACTTATGCATGTGCGGCTTGGTGTTTTCTTGCCAAGACACATATGCAAAGCCTTCGAGTACTGCAAAGTAAAACTTTGCGAACAATTTGCAACATTCCATGCTATGTCTCAAACGAGACACTACACAGAGACCTTGACTACACAGTGAAGCAAGTTCGTAAACATTCAAGGCCACGGCTCGCACTGTAATCAAAAATTAGCGCGAACTTTTAATAAACTTAAAATTACACTCTAACAAAACCGAATCAAAATTTGTTTAGTTCACTTCAAAATTAATCCGTGTACCAAGTCAAAAAGACTAGGTGTCTTCTCTTAAACTAAACAGTTCTGTTTTTCTTTGCTCTTCTCCATTTTTCTTCTCTTTCCCTTTCTCTTTTTCCTTGACATGGTCTGGTTTCTAGGCAATCAGTACTGACAGATTCGACTAACGTACATTAGACAGTGACTAATGGGCAAAGGTCCTACGGACCGCCCAGACAAACAAATGACGAATAGTAGGATTTACGTCATTTTCTTATCGTGGCTTTATTTTAGTGCCAACCAGGAGAGGTGATCTGGAAATTTTGGCTTATAATCTAATACATTGGCTGGGTGGTAGTCTACCATGGGACAAAAAGTTGTCTGACCCTAAAATTGTACAAAAAAGCAAAGAAGAATTTATAGATGCTATTTCCAAATCTGCGAAGAGTTGTTTTGGAAACAAAGCACCACCTGGTATGATTTGCGAGAGCTTGCTTGTATAAGTGTAATAATATACTCGATACTGATGAGTCGTTTGATATATTGATATATATATATAAAAAAATTTCAGGTCCCCTAATTGATTATCTGAACTACCTCAAAACACTGGATTTCAACTCTACGCCCGACTACAAGAAAATACGGAAAATATTCTTATCTGGTATAGACTCTAATGACAAGTTAGATGCACCATTGAAATTTTCTGAAACTATGAAACCAGGTGCAAAAAGAAAATCTAGAGAAGTGTCACCTCTAAAGTCAAAATCACCAATAGTGCGAATGGCCGAGAGAACTGGCATGAGATCATCTAAAAATGTATGTATATATTTGTATAGAATTTTGAACATTTTTACCGCAAAATTGATGCAAAATACCAAAATAAAAGTGCTAATCTAACGGAAGTTATCAGATCTCTAATACTTTCATATTTTTTTCTCTCAAGCCCATGATGTGTTAATTTTTTCGACCCGTTAGTTTTTCCGCCCTAAACCCTTTAATCTGGTAGGTATTTAATTAGGTATTTAATGGAAATCAAAGCTAGCAACAATTTTTTTTATTTGGGCAATTTTGAGTCAATGATAATAAGATGTCGGAACGATCTCTTTAAAAGGGATCTAATGATGTGCAACAGCGATAAGATAATTTGCTCATCTTCAATGCAAAGTTGCCAACCATTCTTTTTGACTAGTGATGATATGTTTCGTGTTGAGATTTTTTTGTGTTTATGAAAGATTCCCTCATTGTCAAAATTGATTTAATTTTCCACAAAATTAAGACATTTTTTTTATGAGTAAACCGTCGCAGGTATTTCATAAGTTTAGATTTTTTAAACATATAAAGCGCCGTTTCTCTGTGGAATTAAGCAGCTACAATATTGAGTTTAACTTGAAACCATATTATTTTGACATTACATTTTTTGGACAGTTGTTTTACTACAAAAGAAGCACATTTGAAAGATATTGAAAAGGATATACTCGATTCGGGAGGGACTAAGCCTAAATTATTCTTTTGTACAAGAGAAGAGTTTGTTTACCGATGTTTGTTTTTTGAGTGTTCTTATGAAAGATAAAAGAACAGTATACTGGTTCAAACTCCTATAGTAGCTGCTCCATGGACTACTGTATTTTTATATGAAAAAACATGTAGTAACATCTTGTAGATAAAAAATTAGCTTAATACCTTCATACATTAAATTACCGGAGAAGACACATTTACTAGAAATATCTTAAAAATCAGGCAACTGCCTCATGCAAAAATATGCTCTAACCTTAGATATGTTTTTTACTATGCATTAATTTTTTTGAGAACATATAAGGGCGGTTTGGGAAAGACAAATGAGCTCAGACTTTAGGCATCACATTTTAAATTCTTAGGTTTATAAAAGTTGTGTGTCCTAGGTTCAGACCGATTAGATAACCGCACGAGTAATTCAATATTCGGCGAAACTGGGCATTCGGTAAAATGGGCAGAGTATGCCGTGTACCGGGTACAACTGAGTACTTCGTTACTGCTACATGTTTTTTGTAGAAAACATTTTACACCCATAGAGCAGCTACTCCCATCGATTAATGTATTCTACCAAAAGATAATAATATTTATTCACAACAATTACAAACTGTGGATAAATAGATATTCCACAAAAGGAAAATTTCCTTGTGCGTGGAAACCATTCTAACACGTAATATAACACATAGATATAACACAATAGTTACAATAAGTTGATTGATAAGGACTAGAAAAAATCGATGTAATATACAGAGAAAACCATATACCACTGACGCCGTAATGTGTACGAGATAAGAGCGAGAAGCGTGCAAAACGCGTGTTAGAAAGAGATAGAAGAACCTCGTTGCCTAGCAACTCCAATGACAATACACTAATTTTGAATCATAGATCAGTAATGCGGAAAAGATATTTATATGTTAGAGTTAAAAAAAGTCGTATAACTCTATTTTTAATGAAATTATTGTTTTTTTCTTGTATATGTTGGTAAGTTCCCCTTTTTTGTGTTGTGTGTTAGATAATGTGGAGCTTACTAGGAAAGATGAAATCTCGAAGGATTGTTCAATAGTCGATAAATTTTCAAGTTCTTCTAAATCAGTCAGTGGTTAAAAAAACATAGCTATGGTTTTGCCATTTATTAATAAATTTAAAAAAATCCGTCCTAATCGAACCTCATCGGTCCAGTTTTTTGTTCGTCGACTATGTGTTCTCTTCACTGTCGTGTAAGAACAATTTCAGCAACAATCTCGCCGACTTACTCCGGACGATGATGGCATAGACCATCGAAAGATCGAGTTCGAGTTAAAAGGGTTACTTATGCGAAACTTTGGCTTCATACCAAAGAAATTTAAGGATATATATATATATATATATAAAATAGGAAAATAATAGTCAAAATCCGCAAAAAGAAGGAAAGTGGATTTTGACCATTATTTTCCTATTTTTTGTTATATACCTTTCTCCGCATGATCATTTTCTCTCTGCCTCTCTCTCTCTCTCTGTATATATATATATGAAGTAGGAAAATAATGGGCAAATCTGCAAAAAGGAGGAAAGTGGATTCGAGCAGAAAATATGATAGGTAACCCGAGCGATACGTATTTCTGCTGGTCGGCTTCAGCAGGCCCGAAATGAATGCACATTTGCAACTACAAAAGTAGATACACATGCCCACACATCCGGATACGGGTGTAACCTGGGAAAACGCAGATGGGGAAAAACCTCGAATTTTCAAGGAGACATCTAACCACAACCTATTCTACGTCCTGGTTTAGTTTGGGTCTGGAAATTCTGTGTGTTTATTGCTTATAATGTGCTCACTAAACGTCTAAAATCTTAACTCAGTACCTTTACCCGCTCCGTATATATATATATTTTTCAATTTCGTAAATAAAACTTCATTACTCTGTCTCTCGGTAGGGGCAACATCTTTGGATCTCTATTCATAAGAACTTTTCTTTGTTATTTTTTTTATGTACTTTCTACTCTAGAAATATTGGCTCGTCTTTATGAAGCACCCTGTATAATGAAAATATCAGGGGTATTAAGACAGATCCCTGTGGTACACCAAAACGGATTTTTTGTGCGGTATATATCCGCTATCGGCGATTATTATCGGTGTCGTCGAAATTCCTGCATCGGTCGATCTCTATTCATAAGTAATATCATAAGGACATCTAATTTTTCCGGAAATAATAATCAAAAAAACACAAGCATGATTTATGGTGGCAACAAAAATCCGAGACGAGGACCTTCCACCTGCACGAATGTTTTTGTTAAAAAAAAATATTACTTTGCATTGTTTTTCGATTTTTTTTCACAGCAAAAAATTAGATGTCTGAATGGTATTAGGCAAGACTATTTATAAGTAACAGATTATCTGTTGCCCTGTGAGACCATATTTCAAAGGTATTGTAATGTTTGGTGACAACAGCTGTCAAGTTTTACCGCGGTAAACTCGAAAAAAAACTGCTGACAGGAGCTGTCATACAATTTTCCCATCTAGAAACCATCTGTAATTCAAAATTGCGCGTTTGTGATTGGTAGAAATTAAGGCGAAGGAAATAGTGATTTAAAATCATGCCAAAACGAAATTAAATACCTTTGCGGCGGGTTGAGAGTATGCAACTCTAGTTTAACGTTTTTCTTTATTAGCAGAACGTGCATTTGAACTTTGAACAATGCGTTTATCGGCAGGCCTCAAGTCAATGCATATTCTTTAAAAATTTATTTTACAGGTAGATTATACTAATGGTGATCAAGCCACAGATAGTGAAAATTCGGACATAATAAGTGGAAGCGAAGATGAGCTGCCGACTGTTAAACCATCAAAGAGGGGTAGGACTAAAAATGATGTCAGTGTCACTGAAAATGGTGCTATTGAAAATGCAGATACTGCAACTCCAATAAAATCGAGTAAGGGTAGAAAAAGGACTCAAAAGGTTGTGCAGGAAAATGGTGATGCAGAAAAAACTGTGAAAGGAGAAAACGTTAAAAGCGTAATAGAAATGGTAAAGCCACGAACAAGGAAGACGAAAAGGTTTGTATCACTGATTTTTTAAACCGCTATCGCCATCATTGATTAGTGTAATGTCAAAACCCAAACTTTTCATTGTGGTCTCAGTACTGAACGAAGATAAAAACAGTGATAGGACATTTCTGCGTTGTGTTCTTCTAAGTGTTAAAACTCATATCACCTGATATTTTGGGGAGCTGCCCTTCCGCATCTATCTGGATACTCCCATATGTCCAAGAATCTACATGCCAACAGCATTTGACGTAGTGAGGATTGAATACCAGTGCTTCCAAAGCGATATTCCCTGATAACAGTGATATCATTCACATATACTAAATGACATAGAAAATGCAACACCGACTAGGAGTGCTGTAATTTTGATCATACTTTTACAAGTTTTAGGTCTACTGATGAATAGACAGTGATTAAAATTTTAACTCGAAATTTCTCAAAATAGGTGAGATATCCCACGTTAATATTAATAATGTGTTGGAGCTACTCTGTTAGTTGCGCCATTGATTGGATTAGCTGATTGATGTCTTCTTGGTTGTATTGTATCCCAGGCCATCTGAATTTGGTTTCGTAGAGCCTCCAATGTTTGTGGATGCGATGAATTTTTCGACCTTCTTCCTATCATGTCCCCTACATGTTTGATGGGGAGAAGGTATGGAGATCGAAGAGGCCAATGAAGCAGATTTACCTTGGAAAAAGTCTAAACTAACACGTGCGACATGAGGTCATGCATTTCATGTGAAGAAGTGTATCTTGCAATGTTCCATAAAGGGAAGCAGATGCGGTTGTAAAACTTCGTGGTTATAGCGCATTCCATATTCCATTCAAGTATCTCCCTACTCCATACCAATCGTTGCCGACGATGCTGTAGGGTCAGAGGTAGTACAAGATGGGGATGGTATGAAAACAGTCCAAAAGACCTTATTCGGCGATCAACTGTCCTCATTGTTATTGCCCTTTCGACAGCATCAAACCACTGGTTCGCAACTGCCCTTGTTATGGAAAATCTATCACTTAACGCTAGTTGCCTCAAATAACGATCCTGTCGCTCTGTAATGTGTCTTTGATGTCCAGTACCTCTAACTTGTCGATTTCTGCCTTCTCGGAACCACGCTCGATAACATGTCATTAGAGTACCTTCGTTTCGATTCACCCGATAATCATTTTCTCTAAAAGAAAATCCAACTTCACACAACCCGATTATCCGACCCCTCTCAAACTCGGAAAGTTGAGTGCAATTAGCGCGTTTGCGAACTCTAGGCATGATAATGCAATGAAACAACAATGAAACAAATGTAACCAACACAGAAAAATCACAGAATATTAAGTAAAGATAGTCACATTGTTTGGATCCTGATATGACAGAAAAGCCTTTACAAAAAGAGTACGACTAGGAATGCGTTCAACATTTTATCAGCGTATACTTCCATGATAGCGAATATTTTTACAAGTTTTTATCAAAATTCAATAAATAATTCTCGGTGTTGCATTTTATATGTCACTTAGCATATATCGTTTTGAAAATGTACGGGGGAAGGTATGAACTATTTTTACGTATGCTTCAGCACATTGACGTCTAATGTACGTTGCAGCTGAATTAGCGGATAACACCTTTATGTCAGTTCTTCACTCTTAGCAATAGTGAATCTGCTGAAACTCAAGACCACCTCTATTGACTCATTGAACGCCTACCGCCTTTTTGTAAAATTTCAAGACAAAATTGTGGATATATATTTTATTTACTTCGATGCATTCCGTGTTAGGCAAACCTGATGTAATTCAACACAGAACCCAGAACTGTTAGCCCTAAATAGTTAGAAGTTAAAAGTTACTATCATCATGGCACAGCACCATTGGAATAAAGGAGGTCAGATTGGCCAGTTCTGGATGTACGAAGTTCGACACGGTTATGGTGGCAGACCGAAGTCCGGCGGATCTGTCTGGAAGACACATCGCGGGCCGAGCAGGCAGTGCGCGAAAAAATCCGCCCGGTCGTTGGTGTAGCCGTAGAAGAGAGCTAGATCGTCGACGGCCCGCTGTTGCGAAAGGGTCCCCAAAACTGTCCGTTAGAGAAGAGTCATCGATCAGTCGGACAGCACTCCTCTAAACATTATCAAGCGTGGACAAAGTACTCGGAGTGGCAGCGCCCCAAACACATGAGCAGCACTGGAGGCCAGGCCTTATCTGGGATTTGTACAGAGTGAGGAGGTCATGTGGAGAAAAGTACTTCTTAGCCCTAAACAAATAGCCTAGCCTTTTTGCAGCAGCTGCCGCTGTTGACCAGATGTGTTCGTGCCAGATCAAGTACTCGGTGATCTGACCAGATTGTTGCGTCCCCAAGCAGTGATAACATCCAGGTCTCTCGTCAGAGAAACTAGACATCTTTTCGCCAGCAGACATCTGCTTGTCACTCTGAATCCCTGCATGTGGAGTGCTGTCATCAGCAAAGCTGGCATTGAATTGAACGTGCAGGTAAATGAGGTCGTTGATATGTAAGAGGAACAATGTCGCAGCCAAGACCGATCCCCGAGGGAACACATTTGTTGACGTTGTGGGATGAAGATGAGAAGTCGTCAACCGCGACTGAATCTAAAATGTATTTTCAAGTTCATTGTAATAATTTTGTAATTTGATCTATCCCAAATGGTTTATGCGTGTCTTACTAAGATAATAGTTCAGTTAATCGAAAAACAAACTTCTTCAGGTGGAAGAAGATGATGGTATGCAAGGGTGGACCCAAGCAATGAGGGATATCGCGCTAAAGAAGAAAGAACGCCAGGACAAGAAGCCTGTCAGTACAAGATGTCGTGTTAAATAATTATAACACCCTTAAATAATTACGAGGGACTTTGTTCATTACGTTGTCAACAGC